AGTACAACGCTACTATCCTACTGTACTGGAATAATGTAAACTAAACATTACGGACAAAAATTATAAAGAGTAGCTGACTAGTTGGAACAATAAGTTAAAATATATTATGATTTAAAAAAAGCATTTTTTCTGCTACGTTACTACAACCCGTAGGCAGTGAACAAGACTTCAACGCGGTGGAGTATTCTATATGTATAAAAATTGCTGTTCGTTAGTCTCGCTAAAACTCGAGAACGGCTAAACCTAGGTTGGAGGTCTAGGGAAGGTTTAAAATGTGTAAAAAATTGAATAGTTGCCGGTAAGTAATCGTTTTTTTCTAATTACCCGCGGACGGAGTCGTGGGCGACAGCTAGTCTTTAATATTATTTAAGAATAGCGTTGCATATAACACGTAACGGCTTTAAATAAATAAGATACGAATTTATTTCATTGTTTTAATTATTTGCGTCGGTCACATTCGATCGCCCTTAAAACATGTTTTTTCGATTGCATATGCGATCGTAAGGTCGTAATGTTAAAGCCAGTGAATTACATTTAAGTAAACATATCTTTGATATGTTTACTTAATACTTTTATTAATATGTTTAATCAATTGAAATAACGTAAATGATTAATAATAAAATTAAATATCTCGTTACATGAATACAATTTTAATTTGACATGAAACTTTCATTGTCATTTTCCTTTATCAGTCCATTAGTTTTTAAATGTCAAATATGTAACCTAAATAATGTTTTGATTAAAAATAACATGTATTAATAAATTGATGATTAATTTCTCTTTTCGGAATTAATTTTTTAACGATTTTTTCTTTGTTTTTTTTTTCTAGATGTTCCGAGTTTTTTATGTTACCTACATTGAACTTTTTTAATTATTCTTGTTCCGGTCTTGGCAGTGACCTCATTTTCAGTCCTAGCAGTCAGTCCTTGTTGGGAATATAAGTTTGTAGATACTAAACATAATTATACGTTCCAGCACTCAACCATCTCTACGATTTCACGACAAGGAAGGGGTGAGTCTAATTTCATCTAATAATTTTGGTGCAAATAAGAAATTAATAATTTTTTTTTCTTACTTAATTCTATGGATTTCCTTTCTGGAATATCATGTTATTTGATTTAAAGTACAAAAGAACGGTCTATGTTTTTAATTCAATCAAACATTTAAAAAAGAGGTAAAAAACTGTGCTGGAAGTCAAACTACATGCTATCGTTATTGAAAAACAGTGACGTAAAACAGTTTTAAATAACTATTTCTAACGTTAGTTATCACGTTATAACGGAATTAAAAAAAAACGTAATTAGTAGCCTATCTGTTCTTCCAGACTTTGTTCTACATGTGTGCCAAATTTAATAAAAATCTGTTGATGTTCGCATTTATAATATTAGTAAAATATTTAACGCTATTATTGTAATAATTGTATTCTATAGCATTTAACAGTGGTAGAGCCCGCTTTAACATCTTCGCACGAATTGTCCCGGCTCGCCCGGTGAAATACCACGACCACACAGAAGACAGGTGTCAAGTGGAAGCAATTCCAACTACAGTCTGATGAGTGTGCGTCCCGGAGGCCTAATTTAGTCCCCTTTCTTTTCCCACCCTTTTTCTTATGAGGAAAGGATTGGAAGTGGAAGTGGACGTGGACTTTCCGGATGAGATGATGCATGGGAAGGGAAAATATTTTCTTTCTGTGGATCCTCTCCTCCGTCGATTAAAGGTAGGCAACGCATATGCAATTGCGTATGTCAATGGGCAACGGTCACTTCGCTATTTCAGTGATTTCAGGTGGCTGCTTGCTCTTTTGTCACCTTATGATTAAAAAAAAAACATCTGTTGAAATCTTTGTACAGCTTTCTCGTATTTATAGACTGTTTTATATAAAATAATATTCATTATACATTGTTGCAATGTTTTCGTATCGCATAGCTTACGATTATAATATACAAACAACGCATTTTGTAAATAATAAATGTATTCATAACATCAAAACAATTCGCGACAGTGAACCATAGAGGCAACGGCAACGAGTTTTGTTCTCCTCCAGTCACTTCCAAGCAAACTGACCTCTATAAAATGGACAGGCTATAAACCGTAGCATTTTGTGCCTATTTGATTTTTGCCATTTTAGCATTGACGGTTACGGTTCCGATTTCTATATTTACTTGCTGTAGCCCCGACTCTACGTAACCTATGTGTTCTTCCAGACTATGTTCTGTACGTATACCAATTCTCATCGAAATCCATTCGGCCGTTCTGGAGCTTCAAAGAAACATCCATCAGATTAATTAACTATGTAAATCTGATGTAGCAAAACTTTTTAGATGTCCTGTTCTACGCTTTTTAGTAAGCGCATATAGCTACATCAGTCTTAAGTTGCATGCACACTTAGATGGTTTGCATTTGGACACATCCATCGAATTGTTACATCTTGTATGGAAATAGAGCATCGGAGGGGTTAAGCACTTGACTTGCAATCTGCAGGTCCTGGGTTTGAATCCCGCCATGTAACAATGTGTTTTTCCATTTCCGATTTACATATGTATATTTATCCGACGTTACGATGAAGGAAAACATCGTGATGCTGCACATATCTGAGAATTTCAAAGTTATGTGTAAAGTCAACCCGCACTTGGCCTGTGGTTGACTATGACCTAATCACCCTGAACTTAGGGTAGGCTCCGAGCCCCTCGATGGGGACGTATAGTGAGCTGGTGATGATTATTTGGAAATCAAACATAAGATGTAACATTTCGTAGGAGTCTGTTTTATTAAGTCGCAATTTTTAGTCGTTGAATATGTTCATGACTAGGATAAAAGAAAAACAAATATATATTTTTTTATAATTTTATTATCTTATACAAATAATCCAAGAAAATAAAAGCTAGAAGCAAATTAAAAAAATAATACTTTCAATACAAGGAAATTATTCAACTTAAATAATATTTTTTATATGAATTCGACTTATTTTATAAATAAACTAACGAACTAAAATATAAACCGAGGTCGACCAGTCTTTCGCTATAAAAATCATATTGCATAATCTAGAACATTACTGATTAAATAACATATTCGATCTAGATATTAATCCAGTTTGTAACATCGATCAATTAATCAATCTAAAAACAGTATTTGTGTGTCAACTCAATCGTAAACCAAAAACTAACAGTGGTAGAGCGAGCTTTAACATCTTCGCACTAATTGTCCCGACTCGCCCGGTGATATACCACGACCACACAGAAGACACGCTTCAAGTGGAAGCTATTCCAACTACAGTCTGATGAGTGTGCGTCCCGGAGACCTAATATAGTCCTCTTTCGCTTCCCACTCTTTTTCTTATAAGGAAAGGATAGGAAGTGGACTTTCCGGATGAGAGGATGCATGGAAGGGGATTTTTTTTCTGTCTGTGCATCCTCTCCTCCGTCGATTAAAGGTAGACAACGCATATGCAATTGCGTATGTCTATGGGCAACGGTCACTTCGCTTATTCAGCGATTTCAGGTGGCCGCTCGCTCGTTTACCACCTTATGATATAAAAAAACAGTATTCACTCACGCTGTGATTTATGATTGACAAAAATCATCAAATATTCCAGAAAAGATTACGATTAACACAACAACATAATGCCGCCAAAACAGGTCACAATTTACTATAGATTACGCGCCTGAAAAATAACTTTTTTTTTACAAAATGGCGGCTAACTAGTAAAAGGTCACATAATGCCACACATAAACAACAGAGGACACATTAAAAAAAAACTTTCCAACAGTTCTTATTTGTGATAATAAGGCGGGTAAGTTTCCCGCCATTTTGTCCGCGATAATTTCCAAGCGAGTCATTGTTTTATTTCCTAGAATTATAACATTTTGTATACATTCCTTCCTCATTTCACATGTGAATTGTTCAAATGATAATTATTGAGGAATTCCGCTACGGAACCGAATTAATCAAAAGAAATCATTGACAAATGCATTTTGTTATCATTTTGAATGACATTATTCCATTAAAGTATGCTGTTAATAAAATAATCCGTATGATAAGATTTTAACGATAATTAATAAAGTGCATTGTCATTTTTAATTTAAACCTTTATTTATAGTTTAATTGTCGTATAACCTTTATTACAATGCAATTTACCCGATAAAAAAAACATTTATAGATTTTTTAATTGCAGCAAGATACATTTTCGTCCAAAAACACTAAGATTTAGCAATATATGTAAATTTTCGCGCCAATTTATCTCCAGTTCTAAATGTCAAGGTGACAATTATTGCGCTGGACAAAGATGGCGTCGTATTCAATTGTCTATTATTATTCTAATATTCGTTGTCTACAAAACAAAAAAACATAAAAAAAACTTTTAACTATATTTGATGGAATTTATCAACGATCCTTTTTTTAATTGAGCGCATAGGGCGGAAGCTATTCGATAAAAAGGCACAATTATTTTTACGTTGTATTTCGAAACTTTTAACTACGCAATAAAAGGAGTGTTGGTCGCAGAAAAAAGTCCTGGTTGCGCAACATCCGAGAGTGGACAGGGGTTGCGAGTGCCAAAGTGACAAAGGAAAATATGGAGAACTGATCGCTAACCTTCGCTAGTCGGAGAGGCACCTCAAGAAGAAGAAGAAGAAGCGTAATTTTCGATTATTAGTAACCTTTAATACTGGCTGCTTATGAATTATCGTGGTATTAAAAAAAAACATAAATGTCAAATCGTACAAATATTCATCCGTGGCAAGTTTTTACCGCGAAAGACCGGTCAAGCAAAATTAACCCTAATTACGTCTTACTTAAAATATGTAAATATAAAAATACACGATTATTATTTTAAAATGTCATCAAAACAATTTATTTGCAATACAATAAATTCCTTTCTCTTTATTTTAAATATGATTTCAAAAGCAAAGCAATATCTATTCATATATAAAATAATTCAATTTTAATATAATAAAAAAAATATTTAAAAGCAAAAATATAGCAACACTAATCTGTAATAAAAAGTAATAAAATAAGATTGATTACTGTTTTTTTTTTCTTAAGAGTCAAAGGTTCTCATTAATAAAAGGCAGTGATTGAAATTGGTGTAAAAAAATCCCAGATATTTTGTAAAAAAAAAAAATAATTCATTAGGCATTTACTCAATAAAAAAATGAAATAGGAATTGTAACAGTAGGTTTAACATATAACTGCTAAATAGCAGTTATAACGTCGTCACGTCACCGCTTAAAATAACTGGTCTTAAGTAACAGCCCTATTTTGACAATTATTGTCTGTATAAAACACAATGGCGGCATTTATCTATTTCGTATAAATCCACTATGATTTTTTTCCATCTAATTATTTCTTAAAATGTGTGGAAAAGATAAAATCAGATCGGGGTTTGTCAACATTTTCATACGTATATATTTTGTTAAATATCACTTATCGAGTCCTTTTTCTTACTTGTGACAACCACTGGATTTGAGTAACATTCTATATCCTTACAACTAAATTGTTCCTGTTTCTTCGCCAACTTATTTACCTGAAATTAAAGAAAACATATCTTAGTAAATAAGTAAATTAAATATTTCTTTTTAATGTGGAATATAGATAAAAATTAAAAAAAAAACATGTAAATTTAAACTTTGGATGCCTCTAGCTCCTATACCATGCAAATTTAAATAGAGTTAAGTTGGGTTAAACCGTCATCCAAAGAGAAGGCGTAAAGAAGGAGAAAACTTCTTAGTGTACAAATACCCCGGTGAAAAGTGAAACGAGGAAACCAGTGGAGTTTAGTTGGTTGGCTCCCGAGAGAGAGTCAAACATAACCACCACGCCTTCCCAAAAAAAAAAGAAAAGGAAAATCGTCATATGTTCGAACAAGGAATTTGTGGTACTCCGTCATTCCCGGACAAGCCGTATGTAGTTTAAGACATTATTAGAATGACGTGCTTTCGTTACCAAGTCAACTGTCAGAATGAAGTGAGGGGATATAAACGTTGACATTTTCATAAGGCTATTGTAGCGATACACCGGCACATTGTCGGATTTTCTTCCTAACAGTTGATTATGAATTAGGTTAGGCATTAAAAACGTTTTTTTTTCAGAGGGGAATGCTTTATGCATACTCCGCGTCTCGGGGGGGACGCGGTAGTTATGTGGGATTCTCTTTCGGATTTGAAGCATACCCACTAAACCCCTCTGTTCCTCCTACGCATCATGGCGAGGCCACGGGCACGCTTGCGCTTTCGTCCGCGACCTCGCCTGCGTCAGCTGCCGAAGCAGCTCCCACTATGGGGTAGGGCCTACCTTCAGCCTCAGGCGCTGGAACCCCCGTATCCAGCGCCCTAGGCATTAAAAAAAACATAAAAACAGCTGCAAAACTGCAAGTATTTTGTGACAGTATGATAATTTAGTTCGACTTTTACCCACCGGGTAATATAACTATCTGTGGATATATAATTTATATTATAATCATCATCATCAGCTCACTATACGTCCCCACCGAGGGGCTCGGATCCTACCCTAAGTTAAGGATGATTAGGCCATAGTCAACCACGCTGGCCAAATGCGGGTTGGTTGACTTCACACGTATCTTTGAATTACTTCTCAGATATGTGCAGGTTGCATCACGATGTTTTCCTTCACCGTAAGAACGTCGGATAAATGTACATATGTAAATCAGAAATGGAAAAACACATTGGTACATGGCGGGATTCGAACCCAGGACCTGGAGATTGCAAGTCAAGTGCTTGACCACTGAGCCACCGACGCTCCTATATCCTATATTATAATAGATATATTAAATTTTGTACAGACAATAAAAGGGCGGGAAAACAATAAACGTATAATCTATTTACGATTATTTTTATAATATGTATTTACTTACAATAATGATATAGATAAGAACAACGAAATATTTTATATTATCTATTTGATTGTTTGAAGATAGCACTGATTCATACAGGAAATGTTATTTACTTTTTACTTTTGTTAAATTCATTTTTATATCATAAGGTGACAAACGAGCGAGCGGTCACCTGAAATCGCTGAAGTAGCGAAGTGACCGTTGCCCATAGACATACGCAATTGCATATGCATTGCCTACCTTTAATCTACAGAGGGGATGCACAGAAAGAAAATATTTTCCCTTCTCATGCATCCTCTCATCCGGAAAGTCCACTTACACTTCACATCTTTTCCTTATAAGATAAAGGGTGGGAAGGGAGTAAGGACTAAATTAGGCCTCCGGGACGCACACTCATTAGACGAAACGCGGAATTGCTTCCACTTCACTCCTATCTTCTGTATGGTCGTGGTATTTCAACGGGCGAGCCGGGCTTTAACATCTTGGCATGAATCGCATGCGAAGATGTTAAAGCGGGCTCTACCACTGTTATGAGGGTCTATCACGAATTCGAGATATACATTTTCGTAACTTCGTCAAACAAATATGTCAAATTGTACGAGATAAGTCGTACTTTACGATAGCATTGTACAAATGGCGCTGTTCAATATATCGTGCGAGGCCCTCTGTATAAATCATTGTGCAAGAAAAAAGTTTTTTTTTTAAATTACCGAAGCACAAGCCTCTTAAAAAAAGAAAATCCCAAATAATTAAAATCTGTCTTATGGTTTTGGAACACATATGTATTCAATATAAGTATGATACTATCTATCGCCTGCGATTTCGTCCGCGCGGAATTAAATACTTAATCAATATCCTATGTGTTCCATGCTATGTTCTACATCTACCCAATTTCACCAAGATACATTCAGCCGTTCTAAAGATACATCTAACAAACATCTAAACATTCGCATTTATAATATTAGCATGAAAATGTGGTTTGTCGTTGGGATACTGACGAAACTGTGCACTATCAGAGACACAGTAGGTCAATGGGACGAGCGACTGGTACTTGTGATACGATACAATATTATATATTTTAAAAATATACATAAATGTACGCGACAGATTACAAAATATAAAAAAATAAACGTGGTATATATACCATCCACCATCTTATCTGTCGCCTGCGACACCGTACACGCAGAATTAAAAAAAAAATTCTCAAAAAGTGTACGTGTTCTTCCAGACTATGTTTTACATCTGTGCCAAAATTCATCAAAATCCGTTAATAAGTCCTAGAGATACATTCGCATTTATAATATTAGTAAGATAGTGCTCTTGTCGTCGTCAACTTGAACAAGAACATATTCTCATCTCTTTCATGTTCTTTATAAAAAACAGAGAGTTTAGATGTTTTTGAATTGTTCCATTACTAACTACGATTACACATTCGGAAAAATACATTGAAATTATCAAAAACAAGTTTTTACTTTATGTTTTGATAATATTTTAATTATAAAACAACTTTTTTAATCGCTAATTATTCAAGGAAACAAGTTTAGTATATGCTGATAGTAGAAATTATATATATATATATATATATATATATATATATATATATATATATATATATATATATATATATATATATATATATATATAATCTATGTAAGTATGTAACGAGCTGTATCCCGCGATTACGTCCAGGCGAAATTAAAAAAATTAGTATACTACGTGTTCTTCCAGACTATTTTCTACATCTATGACAAATATTATCAAGATCCGTGCAACTGTTCTGAAGATACACTCTTACAAACATTCGCATTTATAATATTAGTAAGGAGTAAGATAAATTAGGTGTAAGACAGTAAATGAAATTATCAGCCATGTAAATATTAATATTATAAATGCGAATGTTTGGATGGATGGATGTTTATTACATCTGCTGCATGGATCTCTCTGATGGCATAGTTGTAGAACATCTGGAAGAACACACAGGCCTATTATTTTTTAATTCCGCGTGGACGGTATCGCGGGCGACAACTAGTGTGTCAATTCCTCATTTCCATTTAATTCGACTTCACATTGTATTTTTTTATCAATTATTTGATCTATGACTTAATTTCTATAAGAAGATATATAAATTGGAAAAAAACTGAAAAAAGACAAGTTCCATATCAATAGACAAGATTAATTAATTTCTAGATAAATTTCTCGCAACGTATCTTATCAAATGTACACAGTTCAGAGCACGTATATGACAAAAAATAGAGAAATAGACTAAAATAATTAAACTGATATAAAAAACGGCTAAACTCACTAACTCACGTATATTCATCCGGTGGCGGCACCGACTAGTTTCGAGCATAACGGGGGCCATTCATCAGGATGAGTGGTACTGGTATCGCGGACGCGGCCCGTCGCTTGAGCGAAACTAGTCGGTGCCACCGGACGAATATACGTGAGTGTTTAGTCGTTTTTGTATCAGTTTATTATAATGTCTCACGAAAGTTTGAATAATTAAAAATAATTAAGTTTTCTATTTATCCGACTCGGAAGGGTAATGTTTACGAGTAGTGTTGCCAGGCGTCCGGATAAAGCCGGACATGGGTTGTTTCATTGCTTGTCCGGCCAAAATAAAACATGTCCGGTAACGGGTTATCTGGCCTTTGTTAGGTTTGTTACATTTCGCGAATGAGAGTGGCCGGTGGAATGTAAGGTATCCGGCCTTTCTACTTAAATCAATCCTTTTTTATTGGTTTTTAATTAGCTAAATCGTGTCTTAACACGTTAGCTGCCATGTCGGACTATATGTCCGACAAGCTAATGTTTCAATCAGGCCTTGTCAAGCTATACTTCCATTAATATATAAATAACAAGTATATGAGCAATGTAACTAAGGTATTACTATATTTTAGGTGTTTTCAAATGGTTTTGGACAATATTTAAAAAAAAAAAATTTCGTTTTTCTAAAAATCATTCTGGCAGCTAACGTGTTAAATTACAAGTTACATGTAAAATATTTGTCAAAGTCTTTGTCTAGATGCGAGGCAAGATTGCATTATATCCTCGACGCTTACCATTTGGATTGAACAAATAAACGAAACGTGTCAAGGATGTAGTGTTGTGCTATGATTAGGGCTGACGATATCGATAAAATAATCAGGGTTGTCACGACCAGAAAAAATTTACGTTATTCTGTAATTGAATAGTTTTTTTTTAATTACAATAGAACTAGACTTTGGTATACAATGTTAAATACATTTTTTATAATATTATTGGTTGAAAACAATTTGTAAGTTGGCGGATAAATCCGAAATACGAATGTGCATCTATCGGAAATAAAACGTCTAAAAGCACTTACATAGAAATCTATAGCTATCTCTTTCCTTCTCGTTGGATTAAAAGAGATAGCAACATGTTTTCAAGTCCATCTGCAGTGTTCACGGTAAAGCTTTTAACACTACGAAAAAGTTGCATAAAACCTTCTTAGAATTTATATCAAAAGGTCGTATGTTCAAGATCGAATCGCGTTTACATGAGTTCATTGTATGACGTCACAGGGTCTGTCTGTCCATCACGATTCACAGATTAATTGAATTAGTTAAATATGTACAGGGCATCACGTATTACATGTTGAGTAACAAAGACCTTCTCGTTATGGTATTGGATTTAAATATAATAGGAATTTAATAGATGTACTAACTAAAAAAATACAATAAAATATATAATTCATGCTATAATATTGAGATTGAATGTGGATGGCTACAAGGGTAGAGGAAGACCAAAAAAAGTATGGAATGACTGTGTGAAAGAGGATATGCGTAAGAAGGGTAGACTCGGATATGACGGCTGATAGAGATGTATGGAGGAGTAGTACATGCTGTGCCGACCCTCGATAGGGATAAGGGCAGGTTGATGATGATGATGCTATAATATTAAACGTACTTTTAAAACAACTCATTTGAAAAAAAAAATTTAAACATTTCCAAACATCCTGTATATTGAATTCATACATCTAGGAACACAACAAACCATCCTTCCTTACTTTAACATCTTTAAATGTCCCTTACATTTCTCCAGAACGACTGAACGTATCTTGCTAAATATGCCATATATTCAGAACAGTCAAAAACATATATATATATATTTTAATTCCACGCGAATGTTCACGATAGCTTGTATTAAATAGTATTTAAAATAGTCTGAATTACTCTGTAGCGAGATGTAATCTATTCCCGGCCTTCACATAAACTGTATCGCCATGTGTTTGAAGCAATTTCCGGCCAATACATATAGTAAAGAGTGGTTAACATTAACTGTATGGCACGAGTAAAAACCCAAAGTCCAACGTTAGTCATAAGGTGGCATCTTTAAATGCCACATTACGAGTCGTTTAATCGTTACTTAAATGATCGCTGTATAGACCTTTAAACTGAGTGTGTTTCTGAGACCAAAAACCCTGTTTAAAATGTACGGTTTTTTTAACAGGTATGAATATTAAATATATTTATACAGAAATTTTTGTTTTGTCTAAAACCATTTGAATGGGCCTTTGCGGGTCACGCTGTATATAACAATTCGATTAAAAGCCACAGCGAGGTGTTGAATGGAAGTATGGCTTGTCGGACACATAGTCCGACAAGGCCATATTGAAACATTAGCTTGTCGGACGTATAGTCCGACATGGCAGCTAACGTGTTAAAACATATCATTAGATATTAGTCTCAGAAACCAACGGTAACTCTATACCTAACACCTCAATAACATAGTACAGTCATGCTCTGATAGACACGACTTTGATGAATATTCGTTACAGATGACTTAACTATAAGGTCAGGCAAGAGTTTAATATAAAGACAAAGGAAAGAGGTAAATCTATTAAATCTTGTTACATATGTAACTCTTTTCCTCTCATGTCAAATAAACCGAGGATACTAAGAACTTGATTAGTAACGAATTAAAAACACAATGGCGTGACAAATGGCTTATCTACATAATACCAATGCTTTAATTTAGACTAAATAGGACTAATTAGTGCATACTAGCTCGCACGCGACTCTTTCCGCGAAAAATTAAAAATGTAATTAGCCTATATGTTCTTCCACACTATAAACTAGTTCTTTGACAAATTTCAGCGTGATCCATACAGCCGCTTGGAGATACCTTGTAACAAACATCCATGCATCCAAACATTCGCATTTAATTAGTAAGGAGTAAGATTGTGCTGTGATAATTGCAAATGGCTTTGTAATTAAGGAAATATTGGGTTACGAAATTATGGAAATGTTTTTTTTCCCACATTAATACAATAAAAAGTCCGATTGTTTTAATGTGCATTTTGACACTGCAGAGAATATTATATAAAAGCATTCAGGTTCAGGTAACATTCTATAATAGGACTGAATATTAAGAGAAAAAGGGCTTCTTGACTGGAAGGTACAGGATGTCGCACTTTTATATTTTGTCTCCGCTTTAATAATAATTTGAAACGTTAAAAGAACGTAACATGTTTATGCCTAAACGAGAGAAAAAAAACCTAACTTTTTAAAAACCAAACGACCGCTTTGCTGTGCGACCGGTGCCCATTTAAAAAAAAATTGTAACAAAATGACAAAGGAAAGGACACGTGTATGCAAAATTAGTTCTATTATAAAACGCCTTATTCTATCTGCGTTCCAAATAGATTCTAACGGCATTTGAAACTGTTCTTAATTCAAATTACCTCTTACGATTGCGAATTGTTGATTTAGAAAACAAAAACTAGCTGAGATTTCTACGTACTGGCCACATGTAGATAACAAATTAAAAATAAATCGAGATCGACGGCATGGAATTTTAAAAGTAAATAAAAAAAAATTGTTAAAAAACCGTATTTGTTAGGCCGTTTTCAAATCTAATAAGAGACGCAACGTCACAAAAAATAGGACTATAATTCTACCAAAATATAAGCTTTAAAAGAAATAAAACATTAAAAAAAAATCAGACTACTAACGTACTCTACATTTTGCGGAATATTATTTTCTAATGTATTCGTTATTTCACGTATTAAGTAACATTGGATGCAAGTGAACATAATCCGTCCATTACACAACATTCACTTTCGCTCCAGACTTCGTTTGTGTAACTTTGACATCGTAACCTTTTAACTATACCTTTACAAAGCACTCGCACAAAATGCTATTGTCGTCCCTTTCATTTCTTTTAAAGAAGTTGAGATGCCTATATAAATAAATCGAGACTAAAATTCTTCTCAATAAATGCAACTCTTTAGGTTACTAACTCTTTAGCTTAGTAAAAAAATAACCGTAGTAGACGCCCGCAAGAACAACTTCAATACTACGACCTTACCATCTCTCTCTACTTCTTTTCTCAGTGGATTTTTGTAAAGGAGGGGACGCATAGGAAGGGAATTCTCTTTCTGTGCGTCTTTTCCAACTATGTATTATAAAAGACAGACAGACGGAGACAAAAAAGTGATCCTACAAGGGTTCCGTTAGTTCCTTTCGAGGCACAGAACCCTTAAAAATTCTAGTTTTCGTTGACAACAAAAAAAATGTTTTTTTTTTTTAATTTTGTTAATATTTATATGTTTATTTTTAAATTTACACCAACGTTATGAACATATATGTAGCATTTAAGGCTTGCAAAAGAAAAATAAAAAAAATCATCTCATTTTTTAGACAATTTCGTAATACATATTTTTATCGCAACTTCAAATTAAAACATACAAAGACTATTGCGTTATATCTTACTAATAATATAAATGCGAATGTTTAAAAGAAGAATGGATAGATGGATGGATGTTTGATAGTATCTACGGAACGGCTGAACGGATCTTGCTGAAAGTCATAGATGCAGAACATTTTTTTTTTTATAGGAGAAGGGGGCAAACGAGCAACGAATCGCCTAAAAAAAACAAAAAAAAATGTAGAACATAGTCTGGAAGAACAAATACGCTACTTATTGACTTTTTTATTTTTGCGCGGACGGAGTCGCGAGCGACAGCTACTATATACTAAACTGTTTAACATATAATTTCATGATTTAATCATGTATGCTAACATACAACCTCCATGCTCTTATCAAGTAACTATGTGATAAGGGTGTGGTTAATTATGAATATAATCATAAAAAAGCCGTTTACAACTACTTTTAGTAGTAACTGGCTATCGGCCCCGACACCGTATGTGCACAATTAAAAAAAAAAAGTAGCCTATGTGTTCTTCCAGACTATGTTCTACATTTATGTCAAATTTTAGTTATATCCATTCAGCCATTCTGGATATGCCTTCTAACAAACATCCATACATCCAAATATTCGCATTTATAATATTACTATAATTAAAAGTTTAAAAAAGGTGTTTTTTAAACCACATTTACTGTAATATATTTTCTTTAAAAAATCTGAGTTCAATTTTTTAAATGAACTTTTGTACAAAACATAAATCTTTAAAGATGTGTTAATGTATACAAAGTTGTATAGAAAAAAGATTATTTTTAAAATAATAAAAAAAAATTGAATTAAAAAAAAAATATGGTCTCAAAAATTTGTGCTTATTTAACTTAGGTATTAAAATAAGAAACTTACTTATATACTCCTAAGGCAATGTCTGGCTTCCCTGCGCCCTGATGCTGCCAGTCCTTGACAACCGCTTCCCAATTGTCTGAACATGGAATCCAATGTTTATCAGCTGCTCATGATCTAAAATCTTCCGTCCATCAAAGATGTATGCCGGCTTCATCATCACTTCATAAATCTTTTTAAAATCTAACTCTTTAAACTCATCCCATTCGGTGCAAAGAACTAATGCATGAGCTCCGGAAACTGCAGAGTATGCTGTATTATGTATTTCTATGTTTTTACGGACAATCTCTGGCTCATTAGTTACATAAGGTGTTGTTAACTCATAGTATATTTGATCAGTCTCAACTTTAGGGTCATAAATATGTAATTTTGCTCCTTCGTCAAGTAATGTCTTACATACATAAATAGCTGGTGATTCACGAGTATCACCAGTGTTCTTCTTAAAAGAGAAACCTAGGATAGCAATCTTCTTGTCTGTGACTGTGTTGAATAATGATTCTATAACTTTACGTGTGAATCTTGTCTTCTGGTAGTCATTTAAGCTGACTACTTGCTGCCAATATGCAGCCACTTCAGGTAGATTCAAACATTCACAGAGATAAATTAAATTCAATATATCTTTCTGGAAACAACTGCCACCGAAACCGATTGAGGCTTCTAAGAATTTAGGACCGATACGTGAATCTCTACCAACAGCTCGAGCCACCTCGGACACATCAGCACCTGTAGCTTCACAGACAGCAGACAAAGAGTTGATACTAGATATTCTTTGTGCAAGGAAAGCATTTGCAGCAAGTTTAGATAGTTCCGAACTCCATGTATTAGTTGTTAAGATCTTTTTAGCAGGAATCCAGTGTTCGTAAACCCAGCACAGCTCTTGAACAGCTTTTTGACCTTCCGGTGTATCTTCCCCACCGATTAGTACTCTATCTGCTTCCACAAGGTCTACTATCGCTGTGCCCTCAGCTAAAAACTCAGGATTAGACAAAATCTGATACTCTACTCCAGGTTTAGTGTTAGCACGGAGTATTTTCATAATTATTTCTGCTGCCTTGACAGGTACTGTGCTTTTTTCTACCACAATTTTGTTACTTGTAGCCAAATCGGCTATCATCCTGGCAGCACCTTCAATGTACTTCAAATCTGCAGCTCTTCCTTTACCATTACCAAAGGTTTTCGTTGGTGTGTTCACCGAAATGAAGATTAAATCAGCTTCTTGAATACTTTTCGCGATGTCCGTAGAAAAGAATAAGTTTTTACCTCGACATTGTTTGACCACTTCGTCTAATCCAGGCTCGTAGATCGGTAGTTTGTCAGAGTTCCACTGGTTAATACGTTCCGTACTCTTGTCGCAAACGGTTACTTTTATGTTTGGGCATTTTAAAGCAATAACACTACACGTCGGTCCTCCCACGTAGCCAGCGCCGAGGCAGCAAATTTTCTCAATTACCATCTCGAATGTTTAATTTATAATTATGTTTAAACAGGAAAGAAAATGTTTAAATATTTAAAATTACTTTTGTACACACGTCTGTACTTTTTGAAGGCTGTTTCGCTATTCCGTTAACACTCTGATGAGTTTTTTTAAGTGGATGTTTAAACAAATAACTTGTTAGGGGACGCGTTCCGGAGATGTGTGTTGGCCAACGCAGAGTGCGTGTGCCTCGAGCCAATTAACGGACTTGGCAACTACACGATCATTTTATTTCACCGCGACCACTCAACTCGCTCGACATGCAAGCAGCAGCAGCAAGCAACATTCAACATTTCCTCAAATGTCATTGACATTTGGCTACGTGATTGGGAATAGTGATGTGCCACGCGTAGTTAATATTCGTGCTGAATAAAGTAAATTAAATTATGACCAATAAACTATTGTAATTTATTGAAGTAATGAAAATTTCACTTTTTGTTCAATTTAAAGAACTTAATACTGGAATTAAATTCTTATGTATACAATTTAGGTAAAATACAAATTTTATGAAAAGCCTGTAGAATGCGATTCAAATTTTTATTATTCTTTCGATTTAAATTGTTATATCAAGAATTTATATGTAAATTAAAGAACAAGGCTTCTCTATTATTATCACCACATATTTCAATTTCTTTCCTATCATAGTCGTCATTTCTGTACAGCGATCACTGAATTGTCGAGTAAAATTTTAATAACATCACTAATAGTGTTACAAGATTACTAATTGGGAAATTAATGGTAAAAACTTTTTTTTTAATTTGTAATTATATTGATGTTCACCATGTTTATAATTATAACCTGTATAGTTTTTTTAATTATGACTAGGTTCTTATATCCCTTTTAGTTATTTTTCGAGAAACAAGTAATTTTGAAAAAAAATCTTGGAAAAATTTAGCCAAGCAATGGCCACACTGATCTGTCAAATTTCCGATGACGTTCTTAGTAACGCAAATTATTTGAATATTCATTGGTTGTATTATTCATCGGACTTTTCAGAAATAAACAAAGGATTACTTAAACATAAACTTTATTGCATGATTTTTTTTGCCATTTATCTTCAAAGAGTGCGCCCTCGTTCTTGCCTTTTATATTTTCTTACTTCTACTTATTTATTTGGCAATGTCTTTATAACTTGTTAATATTAGTAATAACCTTTCTAGTTTCTTGACCCGGGGAGACCCCGTGTAGGAGATATGTATATATATATATATTTAGGGTTATAAAGAAAAAAAACACAAAATTCATTGCAAAAATTTACTCCTTAAAATATCTATATTGACTGACGTATATCTAAACTCCAATGACCTCTATTAATATGGATACTAGACAGGCTTGAAGCCTTAATATTATGTGCCTAGTTGTTGATTGGAATCTTCAAATCAACACAAAAAAATAGCCGACATTTTCAAATAGCAGCTCCTAGACTCCTCATTACTTATTTGTGGAGGTCTACTAGAAATGGTTGAACATTAATCAAGACTCCTGTTTCCTAGACAACTAGTTACAGGCAAAGGTCAAGTAAAACTGGCCAACTAATATCTAGTATAATTAGACACCCGTTGCTTAGTAGTTATTTCCAGGGGTCAAATAATATTGGTTGGTAGTATAATCTAGTTTATTTAGACCCACGTTGTCTAGTCATATTGTGGTACGTGGAGGTCAGTTAGGGTTGGTCGACCGCGGTGCCGAGGACCGCACCACTATACGCCAGGTCCCAGTAATGTTCCACTCCGTGCTTTTGGAAATGTTCCCGCGCCTGTTTCTCTGTCGGCATCACCTGTACATTTTGTTTAAGTTTTTATTTCTGCACTAAGGTAGACCCTTAGTGTACTTTTTATTACTATCTTACTAATATTATAAATGCGAATGTTCAGATGTATGATGGATTTACAAATTTCGTTGAAATTTGGCATAAATTCATAACACTAGTTGTCGCCCGCGACTCCGTCTGCGCATTAGAAAAACTTTAGTAGCCAATGTGTTCTTCCGTCTATGTGTTCTACATGTATACCAAATTTCAATAATATCCATCCATCCATCTAAACATACGCATTTATAATATTTGTCTGATAAAACACATAGGAAGTTATTAAGTTTTTCAAGCGATATTTGGTCAATATTAGGGTAAACAAACAGTTATGGTCACCTTAAACTTGATTTCTCCAAATGCGCGATGTTTGGTGACACCCTCCCACACAAGATGACACGCGTTGGGCACCTCCGCACCCTCCGCGTCCTTCACTATATCCTCCTCCCATTTAATACGATGCAGCATCAGCCTGATTAACAGAAATAAAAAAAAAACTGAAAAATTGTTTATGACCACGCAAAATATACAGAAATTTGAATATTTTAGTTCTTTTTAAATGATTGACCGTTGGTGTTTGATAGAAAAATCACTGTATAAAACATATCGTCATCATTGTCGTTATTTTTGACAAAAAAGAGTTAACGATATGTTTTAAACTGAGATATTGCTCTCAGAAATCCATGGTTACTCAGTGTTTTTATTATTATATTAAACCGATTTTGACGAGTAAGGTGTCATTGGATTCATATTATTATGGTCAATTAGTCAGGTTTTTACTTCATCATCAGCTAACTATACGTCCCCACCTCA